CGCACCCTTGTCTACTATAGCTTCATAGTAAGTTTTAAAATCAGGTGTATGAGAACTCCAGCTTTGTTCTTTTTTTAAGATTGTTTTGGCTATTCTGGATGCCTCACATTTCCAAGTGAATTTTAGGATAGGCCTGTCAATTTCTGTAAAGAAAGCAGTTGGAATTTTGATTGGAATTGCACTGAATCTATATGTCAACTTTGAGTAGTACTGCTATTCTAAAAATGTTGTCTTCCAAACAATAAACATAGGATGTCTTTCCCTTTTTTAAAGTTTTCTTGAATTCTTATCAACTAAGTTGTATAGTTATTTTATTTTTTTTCTGGTTAGACAATCATATATTTTACAGAGTGATCCTCCTGATAGTTCATGTAAAGTTGTATAGTGTTTTTGTTTTTGTTTTAAATATATTTTATTGATTTTGTACAGAGCAGAAGGGAGAGAGATAGAGAGCTAGAAACATCGATGAAAGAGAGTCATCGATCAGCTGCCTCTTGCATACCCCCCACCGGGGATATGCCCGCAACCAAGGTACATGCCCTTGACCGGAATCGAACCCGGGACCCCTCAGTCCCCAAGCCGACGCTCTATCCATTGAGCCAAACTGGTCTCGGCTGTAAAGTGGTTTTTAAAAAAATATATTTTATTGATTTTTTTTACAGAGAGGAAGGGAGAGAGATAGAGAGTTAGAAACATCGACAAGAGAGAAACACTGGGGATGTGCTTGCAACCAACGCACATGCCCTTGACAGGAAACTGAACCTAGGACCCCCCAGTTCACAGACCATGCAATATCCACTGAGCCAAACCAGTTTCAGCAAAGTTGTATAGTTTAAATGTGTAAGTTTTACACTACTTATGTTAAATTTATTCCTAAGTATTTTATTCTTTCATATACTATTATAAATGGAGTTGTTTCTTAATTTCATTTTCAGATTATTCATTGCTAGTATATAGAAATACAATTAATTTTGTATATTGATCTTGTGTCCTGACACTTTGCTGAACTTATTTGTGAGTTTTAAGAGATTTTTAAAGGATATTCCTAAATCTTCAGAACTTTCTAAGATCATGTCCTCTATGAATAGAGATGATTTTACTTCTCTCCAATCTACATACCTTCTATTTCTTTTTCTTACCTAACTATCTTGGTCTCTGACCTTTTAAAGCCCGTACAGTTTCTTGAATGACTTCCCTCTTTTCTCCTCATTAGAAATTTTTTTTTTTTTCTTTTCTGGGAAAAGGGGACAGGGTGTAGGAGGAAGAAAGCAAGCCAGGCTTTTAAAAATCAAAAGTTGCAACTGTGTGGTTTGAACTGATTTTTGGTGAGCCTCGTATCCTCTCAGTGGAAATGTCTTCCTTCACAACACCTGGCCCAGGGATTTTCTGGAGGAAATCTCGGAAATCTGTTTTCCTTGGATTTGGACACAAGCCTAGCTGAGCCCAACATCCACCCTTCCTTGGCTGAACGGAGCCTAAGATGTCATGGCCACTTTCTTTGTGCCCATCTCTTTTTCTCCTCTTTTTTATTTTTGCTGGTCAGAGGTAGAGCAACAACAGTTCCTCTCATTGCACCTTCTGTCTTATGGGAGATGAAAACTGTCAGTGAGACAGTAGGCTTTTCAACTGCTCAGCTTCTACCCCAAAGAGACTTTGGCAAGTATCTGCATCACATCTGAAGTCTTCTTTCAGGACAGTTTTGTGATCCCTGTGAGGACAGTCCACCAAATCTTTCCTTCGATTCGTCCTCTTCCTTGCACGTGAGCCCCTCATGGTGATATGCAGAAGTGAGGGTATTTTTCTCGACACTCAGATTCTTTATCCACCCCACCCAGGAGACCTTTTCATTACAACAAGCCACACACTTAATTTCCTTATTCCTGATGAAGGTCATGGCTCACCATGTTTTAGCGGGGCTCCTAGTTCTTCCCAGTTATGGGGAAAAGGAGGGAGAGTAAGGTTCCATTACAAGGGTGTGGAATGGCCCTAGCCAGTTTGGTCAGTGGATAGAACATCAGCCTATAGACTGAAGTATCCGGGTTCAATTCAAGTCAAGGGCACATGCCCGGGTTGTAGGCTAGATACCAAGTAGGGGGCGTTCAGGAGACAGCCAATCAATGATTCTCTCTCATCATTGATGTTTCTATCTTTCTATTCCTCTCCCTTCCTCTCTTAAATCAATAAAAAATATATATATATTAAAAAAAAAAAAGGAGTGGAATGCACACCAAAGGCCTTGCTAAGTGGCTTTGCAACAAGTTAAGTATCTCTCCATATCAGTGCAGGCTCCATTATCAGTGACCTCTTGGGATGTGCAGAAAGCCAGGTGGATAGACTATATAACTATGTAGATAGGTGCACCCCACAGCCATGTATGAGCTTCTAGTGCCCAATGGCTGGAAGCAAACTACACAGGCACTGCCCAGCCTCAGAGACAAGGTAGCCATGGATGTAGGCAGCATCCAGGATGGTCAGCACCCTAGGCCAACCCCCCCGCTTCAGTTACAGTGCAGGCCTCTAGAGGGTAGCTCCCTTTTGTTTGGGGCTTTCCTCCCAGGAACTAGATCTCTTCCTCTTAGCTTCACTCTGAAACCAAACTCAGGTCTCTGGTGCCTCAGCAAGCTTCCGACCACCCTGATTTCCTTCTAACTTCGCAGGTCCACTCTGCCGGCTACCCAATGCCACAGTCACTTAGGCCAGGAGAGGTCTCAAGAGCAAGTGACTTTCTGATATGGTAACTCCCCCCTCACCCTGAGGCTGCACATGGCTCAGTGCCTACTGAGAAGTGCTCTGCTTGGATAGAATCTCCAAGTGTCAGGTCTCAAAATTCTTCTTAAAACTATGTTTGGCAATGCCACAAAGCTCCTGCAAAACGATGAAGCAGAGAAGAGTGAGGAACACTAAAATGAATTCGTAAACTAAAAAAATATATAGATCAATTCACGCTCCTCTGAATTGTGCTCCCCTACTTCAGGCTTGCTTCTTATGCTGTCTATGGGAGCATAGTGAGCGGCATCACACCCAGGGGGTACAGAATCAAGGGCTCCCTAATCACAAAGGGTATAATAAAGCCCTCGTGGCAGACGGGACGGCCCGGGGTGCTGTGAACATGCCACCACTAATGTCTGCGATTATTATAGTTATAACAATGCCACTTCCTCATCCCGTATCTCCACTCTTGTACCACTTGAGTAATACTTCATTATCTCATATACTTTAAAATTTGTTAGTGTTTTTTAAGACCTTAAATGTATTGTCTTGTCATCTTTCAAAGTTCCAGTTACTGTAATATTTCTATGGATCATTTTGAGCATCTGGGGTGTCATATTTAATATTGCTTTCAACATATTATAAGCACCAAAAAAAGCAATTTAAAAATTATTTTCCTTAGTCTTGCTTCAAATTCAAGTTACTATCTAGAACAGCAATTTTCAACCTTTTTAAATCTAAAAGCACAAAACCAATTACTAAAATTTTGCGCACACCAAACAATACATTGTATTTTTTCCAATCTGACAAAAAATAAAAATAGGTACAATTTTCATTCATTCACACTGGACGACTATTGTGTCAGCTGTTGTCATTTTTTATTTGACAATCTAAGGGAATAGAGGTCAGTGCCCCTGACTAGTCAGGTATTGCATGTTTTAAAAACTTTTGTGCCACACCAGTGGAAAATCACTGGTCTAGAATTATATTTCAATATAGTATATTTGCTTGGCTGAATTCATTCACAGACTATCTGTAGGCCTGGACTGAACATTTTTCCTGTAGTGAGAGCTACTCTATTTGTGGGAACTATTTAGGATTCTGGAATGGAGAAAAAGAGGCCACTACTTAATAGCAATGGCATGCATCCAAATATAGATACAGTGTTCTGAACACCTGTTGAACATCAACGATGAAGAAGCTGTTATAATTTCCAAAACCCTGGACCGAAAACTTAAATTACCAGGCACTTTGTTTCAATTGACACAGGATTTAACCCAGGAAAACAAGTTTCCTCACCAAAGAATGACAAGTCTTAATATGCCAGCTGCTGTAAGAAGTAAAATAGTCTCTTCAAAAGTCTGTTTCAATGTCAATTATTTCCCATCAGAAGTCAGTACCGAGGAGGCTGTACTATTGAACCTTCCGGCATGAACAGTAATTGTTTGCTTTTGGAGACGCAGAGGGCATGACAAATATTTTTAGTTGTCAAGGGTGACCAGGAAGAAATGACCCACCTAAGAAATGGAAACTAAGTATAGTAATATGACACTCCCTCTTAGTTCCACTGGGTGCGGTGGTTTGCTACACGCAGCTTACTTCCTGCGGGAGGATAAAGGCAAGACTGTGCAAGAACTGAATGGAGGTGGCCTCTCTACCCTTAACCCTTACCCCCAACACTGTGTGTGTGTGGGGGGGGGGTGTGTGTGTGTGTGTGTGTGGCATGCGACCTCAAGGGAAGGAAGGGATCATAGGCAATACGCTCAACTGTTGCCATTCATTCATTCATTCATTCAATAAATAGTTACGCGTTGGGTACTGTGTGAGAGACTGAACTCTCTCCAACGATGACTCAAAAGCCCTTCTGACACCCCACACCACTGCCCTCATTTCCAAGCACTAGGCCTCACTGGCTCTTCAAGATGCTGATTGTAGCCAGACGGCAGGACAAAGGTGGCCAGAGCAGCGCCTTTCCTTTCCAAGAACAAGGAAGGAGGTTTGAGGTCCGCGAGAACAGGTTCCCAGAGCCTCCTGCCCGCGGGAGGGCCGCGGGCCCCGCTCCGGCCTGCGAACACCGCGCTCTGACGCGGAACCCGAGGTCGCGGCGATGCCGGAGGGGGAAGCGGCGGCGAGGGGGTCCGCGAAAGGGGAAGTGGCGCTGCCCGGAGCCCGAGGGCGGGGGCGGCGGGAGGCTGGCGGCTGCCCGCGTTCGCCAGGGAAGACCGCCTCCAGCCCGGTGGAGCGGGGCGGGGGTCCGGGAGGGGCTGCGGCGGGGCGGGCGAGGGGGTTACCTGATGAAGGTGGTCTTGCCCGTGCTGTACTGGCCCACCAGCAGGATCATGGGCTTGTTGTCGAAGTCGGCGTCCTCCAGCGCGGGCGAGTGGAACTCGTGGAAGCGGTACGCCTCCTCCAGCGGCAGCACCTTGCGCAGGTAGAGCGAGCGCAGGCCGCCCGTCACCGTCTGCACCGCGTCCGCGCCGCCCGAGCGCTCGCGCCCGCCCGCCTGCCGCCCCATCCAGCTGAACATCCTGCCGCGCGTCCCGAGCCCGCCGTCCGCGCCCGCGCCCCGCGCCCCGCGCCGCCCGCTCCGCCCGCCGCCGCTGCCACGCCGCAGGGGTCTGACCCTCCGCGCTCGCGCTGGACTGCCCTGGCTGCGCTCTCCGCCGCGCGAGCTGGCCCCGCCTGGCGCCCTGGCAGCCAATCGCCGTCCGCCACGTCACGAGCGCTCGTTCACTATTCAGAAGGGCTCTCTCAAGTCCTTCCTCATTGGGCGGCTGTCAGAGCCCGGTGGAGGCGTCAGCCAATGGGGAGGAGGCCTTAATGAATTACCGCTGACGGAGTCCGTGAGGAGCACCGGGGCGGGTAAGAGGCTGCCCCTCTGGGCGAGTGACGCAGACCCGGCATCCAAGGGGCCTTCGGAGTCGCCTGGTCTCCGCGTCTGGCCAGGGGGCGGTGGCTTCCGGGCAAAGATGAGCTGGCAAAGTCCCCCCAGAAAACACACACAAACGAAACGCACACAAAACAAACAAACAAACAAACAACAAACAAACCCGTGAGCCCCTGGAGGCTCCTTAGTCTCCTGCAATGTTCACTCATTTTCCCCCCCTCCCCCCCTTAGACGAAAGTTCAGAAAGTTGACCGGCAGGTTCTTTCCACCCGCTGATAGGTTATTATGACCCTTGTTTTATTGCTGGAGACCTGGACTCACGGACGTAATGGACAACATCTTAAGTAGGGGAAGCAGCCTTCCGTCTGCTTGAACATGCTGCTCTTACTTTCACAAGCTGCTTCCTCTAGATTCCGGATCAATTGAAGGCCCTTCGTTTTTCTTTATTTGATTCTCTGTAAAATTGAAGATTTAGTCATCCTCATGAATTACCAATTCCCACATAGTGACATGTTACCTCCCAGCTGTCTCCTTTTCAAGTTAAAAAAACAACATTTACCTAAATTAAAACTGAAGAAATAATTAGCCATCACTTTTGGGGTCCTAGGTTACAGTTTTTGAATATTTCTCAATTGTTTTTAGAGTATTTCTCAAGCATGATCCATGGGCCCACCTGCATAAGAACAACCCGGGGTGCTTGTTAAAATGCAGATGTGTGGTCCTCAAGCCAGACCTGCTGTGTTAAAAAATACTGAGTAGGGATGGAGCTCAACAAGTGCCCCAGGTGATTCTGATGTGCCCTAAGTTTGTGAAAATATGATGCACAACAGTACTCCTCAAACTTGATAGAAATGCAGATTCTGATTCAGTGGGTATGGGGTGGGACCCAGGACTTCCCATTTCTAATAAATTCCCAGGTGTTGCCAAAGTTGCTTGTCCGTGGACCATACTTTCAGCACCATGACTGTGGTGAAGAGAGAACAGGACTTGGCACCAAAAGACCTGGGCTTGAATCCTGATCATATAAATTACATATGGCTCTGTGACCTTAAATGCAATGAGTTATCATTCTGCCTCAGTTTCCTTGTTTGTAAAATGGGAACTCTTTTGAAGCTGTTGTGTGAATTAAATATTTAGAGGAAGTTATATGCAAGCATGGAAGGAAAAAGAAAGCCAGGAAAAAAATGAAATTAGATATTGGTCTCATGTCAAAATAAAACGAAGATTGAAATGGAAAAATAAAATGAAAAGCATAGAACTACTAGAGAAAGGTACAGGGGAAGATTTATAGAATTTTAGAAGGGAAAATTCTAAACAAAGCCAAAGACAGAAATTATGAAAGAAAAGGTTGGTAGATTTGTCAACAAAAAAGTAAAAGCTTCAGCGCTAACCGGTTGCTCAGTGGTTAGAGCGCCAGCCCTCAGACTGAAGGGTAGTGGATTTGATTCTGGTGAAGGGCATGTACTATAATTACAGGCTAGATCCCTGGCCCCCGTTGGGGCACGAGTATGAGGCAACCAATTGAGGTATCTCTCTATCTCTCTGTCTCTCCCCCTCCCTTCCACTCTCTAAAAATTAATAGAAAATTAAAATTTTATGGAAAAAAATCCTTGGGCGAGGATTAACAACAAAAAAGTAAAAGCTTCAATGTATTTTAAAACATACATAAAAAAACAAACCCATATAAAAATACTCTAACCATATGATGCAGAAATTGTGTTTCTTGGTACTTACCCAAATGAGTTTAAAAGTGAACACAGGCAATTGCTATGGAAAAAAAAGTATGATGGTCCCTCAAAAAATTAAAAATAGAACTACTATATAATCTAGCGGTCCCACCTTTGGGTATATATCCAAAAGACTTGAAAGGAGGGTGTCTAAGAGATATTGTACATCATGTTCATAGCAGCACTATTCACAATAGTCAGGAGGTGAGAGCAGTCACGGTCCCTTGATGTATGAATGGATAAACAAAATGTGGCATTATACAATGAAATATTATTCAGCCTTAAAAAGTAAGGAAATCCTGTCACATGGTACAATCTAGATCTTGAGAATATTATGCTAAGTATAATAAGCCAGTCACAAAAAGACATAGAGTGTGTGATTCCACTTACATGAGGTACCTAAAGTAATCAAATTCATAGAAACAGGGAGCAAAATGGTAGTTACCAGGGGCTGGGAGGAGTGTGAAATGGGAACTTGTGTTTAATGGGTGTAGAGTTTCAGTTTTGCAAAATGAAAAATTCTGGAGATCTGTTGCACAACAAGGTGAATATACTAGTAGTTAACACTACTACGCTATACTCTTAAAAATGGTTAAGATGCTAAATTTATTAGGTATTTTTATCACAATTTTTTTAAAGTGAATGTATAGGATTTTTGTACTTTTGTAAAAAAAAATTTAAAGTATCCAATGAGAAGATGAGAATAAACCCCCAAATAGTAATGATCTCTGAATTTTGGAATGATAAGTGATTTTAGTTTCCTTCTTTATGTGCTTTTGCATTTTGTGATTTTTACACAATAATCATATTCTTGTTTTACAATCAGAAACATTTTTTTATTGCCCTTAATCCTACAAGAAAGGAAGGAAGAAAGAGAAAGAAAGACTTGAAGGAGTCTGGCCCATGGGATACACCATCGTGTCTTGTCTTTCTTCTCTGTCTTCTTACAGCCAGTGTGGGCTTTCTTATTCTTGTTCTGCCCTCGGGGAGTGGGAGAGTGGCTGATTCTCCCCACGGTCACTATCTTGCACCATTTGCAAGTTGTGATAGTCTTCGGGTTTTCTTTCTTCAGACTAAACAATCCCAATCTCTGTCACTTTTTAAATTTGAATTCAATTGTTTTTCAGGTTAAATCATAGTATAGACCATTTATATTATACTATAGGAAGTGCTATTGGTGCCTGGAAATTTGTTGTATTGAATAATTCTTTAAAAATTTTTTTTTATTGATTTCAGAGAGGAAGGGAGAGAGTGAGAGAGAAAAAACATTGGTGATGGGAGAAATCATCGATTGGCTGCCTTCCACACATCCTTCACGGAGCCCAAAACCCGGGCATATGCTCTGACTGGGAATGGAACAGTGACATCTTGGTTCATAGGTCGATGCTCAACCTCTGAGCCATGCCGGCCAGGCTGTATTGAATAATTCTTAAAATAAGTAACTGGGTAATAAGACACAACTTTCTTTGCTATAGGAATATTATAATTGTAATCCTTTTGGAAGTCCCCTCCCCACCTTCACTTTGGTAATTTGCTGGTCACAAGGTTTGCTCTAGATTATGTCTAGTGTCGTACTCGGATCTCTTTAAGTTCCAGAATGGTTAAAGGCCTGGGAGACTTGTGACGAGGAGATTAGAGAAAGTATTTTGGCTTGGAAAGAGCCCCCTTCACTCTCAGACACCTCTTTTCTTTTTCTGTGGCAACTTACCCAGGTTACTGCTGCTACTTGGAGATGTAGCCTTTAGGAAGTGCAGGTGGCAATGTCTAGTAGGTACTTGCAGCAAAATTGCCAATTGTCTATAAATCATCCTTTGTCAGTAATAGAACTGATTTTTAGCTGAAGATGTTGCAAAACAGGTAAAAAAAATTTTCTAGTCTTTCTTCTGTTATGTGATCATGAGACTAAGTTCTGGTTGCTTTGTTACCTGCAGGAAGATTCCTTTAAAGAGAAAAAAGTTGCCGAAACCGGTTTGGCTCAGTGGATAGAGCGTCGGCCTGCGGACTGAAGGGTCCCGGGTTCGATTCCGGTCAAGGGCATGTACCTTGGTTGCGGGCATATCCCCAGTGGGGGGTGTGCAAGAGGCAACTGATCGATGATTCTCTCTCATCGATGTTTCTAACTCTATCCCTCTCTCTTCCTCTCTGTAAAAATCAATAAAATATATTTAAATAAAAAGAAAAAAGTTCAGCCTGGACAGTATTTGCTCAGTGGTTGAGCATTGACCTATGAACCTGGAGATCACAGTTACATTCCCGGTCAGGGCACATGCCTGCATTGGAGGCTAGTTCCCCAGAAGGGGACATGCAGGAGGCAGCTTATCAATGATTCTCATCATTGATGTTCCTCTCTCTCTCTCCCCTCCTCTCTGAAATCAATAAGAAACAAAACAAAGCACAGCCCACATATATATTTTTTTAAAGTTCAATCTTTCTCTTCCCTTCTTCCTTCCTGTAGCCTGGGATATAACTATACAAGGGATGGTAAGTCAGAGAGCTGGAAGGAGCAGGATCCCTGAAGAATCAATGAAGCGCCACGCCAGCCCTGGGCTGCCTCCCTGTGGGTTTCTTTTACATAAACGCATTTAAGCCACTTTAGTCAGGTCCCCATTCGAGATTAAAGTAATTCCCAACTGACACTGGAAATGGAGTCTGTGGTAATAAAACCTAAAATGTGACATTCACTTAGTGGAAGAGGAGCAAGGTCAACTTTAAGGACTCATCTATTGCCACGTGAAATATGGTAGCAATCATACTTGGGTAAAAACTGCTGTTTGAATTTTTTTTTTAAAATATATTTCATTGATTTTTGTACAGAGAGGAAGGGAGAGAGATAGAGAGTTGGAAACATCAATGAGAGAGAGTCATCGATCAGCTGCCTCTTGCACACCCCCTACTGGGGATATGCCCACAACC